CCTCTCAGTCGAGATCTAATTGCTTGTATTTCTTTTTTTTTTTCCTTCCGTTATTTTTGGTAGGAGATTGCTCGTCATTGGAAGCAACCGCAAGTCTTATGACGCTTGCAAATTATACGTAGGCAGTTTGACTTACATTTTGCTAGCCGTTTCTGATTTTGTTGATTGGTATGATAAAAATTGAATATAATCATGCCCATGAAATTTGGGGGAACTTCCTATTCAAAAATATCGAAAACTTGGGAAACTTCTCCAAAGCTGCAGCGTACGTATAAAGGAAAATCAAGGTAAAATATGTATTCTTGCGTTCCTTGCTAATTATGATGATGAGATGAAAAAGTCCTTTATGTCACCTTTTAACGTTATAACCATTTTGTCAAAAAAAAAAAAAAAAACGTTATAACCATAATGCCTTAGTAGAGACAGTTGAAAACTTGATAAATCAAAGACAAAATAATACTCACACATTTCCACAAGATCAACGATTAATGTCAAGCAGAAATTACCTAGTCTCTTGTAATTAAGGATTAGAACTTGCTTTCCAATAGAGAACAACCAACTAAAACACACACACAAAAAAAAAAAAGAACAAAAAAGGAATTTTGCTGTTGGGCATGTCATAATCTGCGCGGACCTTTTCCTGTTTCACGTAAAAACGTCTGTCAAGAATCACGGTACAATTTATGGCTAAATCAAGTGCCATCGTTGGTGTAGAACTGGTGCTGGTTTAAAACTTGAGGAAGTTGATTGAGCGGAGCTTGGGGAAGCTTGATTTTGCAGTTTTTCTCTTTTCCTCTTCTGTTGTTAGTAATTCTGGTGATGTATGCTTCTTCGTACGTAAGGTGCCAGACTATTTCTAAAGTTTTCGTCTAATTTTGTTGCGATTTCTCATTGCTTCCGGGAAAGTAATCAAGTTGCCGATTCTTTAGCAAACATGGGATGTGATCAAGGTTTCAATACAACATATCATCAGCTTGTGGACCTCCCTATGAAAGCTCGTGGGGCGTTTCGCTTAGATAGAATAGGCTTGTCTTCAATTAGGAAATCCGTTTAGCGTGGATGAAAAGTCTAGTTCGAAATTCTGCAGTTGAGCTTTATTTGATTGGCCGTTACATTCTGTTTTAACCATGCAGTTGTTATTAAATTGTCTTCAAACTGTCGTTAAGTTACATTGTAGTAACTTACAACCATGTGGATAATTTTCTTGTATTTGGATTTGTTGGCAGAGAGTTTCATCCATTTACAAGGGGAAACTTTCCCAAAATTTTTCTAATAAAAAATTACCTTTTAAAAAAAAAAAGGTGCCAACTATATATATATGTGAATAATGGTATAGTTACTGAACAATTTCAATATATCCTATATACGTGCTGGAGTGATTCTGATGATTATACTGCTCAAGCTTTTCCTGTCAAAACTTGTCGGTTTCTTCTTATTTCCACATTCGGTTCAGCAGTTTTAAAATGAATGCAAACGTCAGTTCCATATCAAATGGAGTGCTAGCATTTCAACAATTGGGCGTTATATATAGAATGCTATTATATAGGCACTCTTCCGATCCATTTTATGTCCAAATCAGCCAAAAATGGGCAAAAAACTTTTCTCCACTCTGGTGTGGAACGGATCTGGCCAACTCATTCCTTTTCCTTTCTTTTCTGACTTCAAGAAACTTCTAAATGATGAAAACTCATATTTCTACCGATTTCTTTTTCTTTTCTTGCCAAATCTCTCCTTCCAAACGCATTGTTAAAGTCAAAAAGAGAGTTCTGAGATAGGATGCTATACCATAAAACTCAAACACTGAGGACAAAAAGCTCGAGCCCTGCAGCTTGTCTATTTATCGGACCGGAAAATTCGGCCAGTCAAGGACACAAGAAAGGAAAAGAAAGAAGTTAACTGACTTTAGCCCCACCCCACGTTGACCGCAGCGTTATAAGAATCCTTGTTAGATAATTGACGGCAAATTGCGAATAGGCAGTTTGACTTGCATGGTTAAATTGTGCTGCCTGTAAATTGATGGTGTCATAGGTTGAATGTACTCATGCCATGAAACTTGGGGAAATTAACTTCCTGCTCAAAATCATAAACTTCTCCATAATTGTGGTGTACCACTAATGATCAAGTGCAAGACGCCGTCGTGACAAGTCTCACTTAGCTAGCTCATTATGATGAGATGACAAAGTCCTTTAATTACGTTTTGATATTAACTAGTATAATACTATAACAGCGAAAATTGAAAGTATACCTGGTAAACCAAAGATAAAATAGTACTTTAGAAGTTTCAACATTGATGTCCATCACATATTGGATGGTTCGTTTAGTCTCTGTTTTAAGTAGGAAAAATAGAGCTTGTAATGAGAAGAATTAGGATTCATTTTCAAACAATAAAAAGAATAGGAATTATATTCTTTTCATAGCCTGCCCGAAATCTTTTTCCTCTTTCCGTTTATACATGTAGCTAGGCTAAAACGTCTGTCAGGAATCACGATACCATTTATAGCTGGATCAAATTCTTGTAGGAAATTATATCCTCAGTTGAATGAGCCATTCTTAGTAATGAACAAAATAAAAACGGAAAAGAATGAGAAGTCATTTTTTCCTCCGTATTTCGCGTCAACCATGTAATTACCAGCAAACAGCTTAGCAATTAGCCGCAGCTTTCCTTTCATCAATCAAAGTAAACGATGCATGTGGGATCTGAGTACAAAATATGGAGCGCTTTGTCATTCGTAGGCAAAGAAAAAGAAGTCGTTGACTTGTTAGGTGATCATTAAGTCAGAGTCAACTCCAGCACGGCGATGATAGATAGCATTATATTGTAGCAGTACGTCTAGTATAAATTAAGAGGAGAATGGCTTACATAACAGAAGAGTATATGCATTGATACCAGCTGTCTAAGTTGTAAAAGTTTAATACTACTCCTGTATGTATTAGTTTCCCTAGCAGTACTACTACAATTCCACCAACTTACACAGTCCATCAGCACGAGAAAACCACCTTGGCCAGGAAGACTGAACGAATATGGCTCCTCCACCTTCCACCGCTGTTTCTCCGATAGTGAGCCTGTTGGTGAGGATTTTAACGTTCGTCTGCCTGCTCATATCCGTTATCATCCTCATAACCAACACTTACACCCAAAGTTCGGATTTTGGTGATGTCAAAACCAAGTTCACCGATTTCCGTGCCTACCGGTAATTGTCATGAACTCCACCTCTAGTCACGGTAGTAGTTTTAAGTTCGGAAATGTTTACAAGTTATAACCATGAACGATATTCATAGAAATGACTGATCATTATTTAAAAAACCATCATGTGACTATTAATTATTTATATACTTTGGTTTGTAAAATATGTTTCTTGGCTAGTTAGTGGGATTTCAGCTTCTTCAAACTTATTCTCGAGTTCTGCAGGTACCTGCTGGGTGCCATTGTTATTGGACTTGCATATACTCTTTTCCAAACTGCACTAACCATCTTCCTGGTAAGCACTGGAAATCGCATCGGCGGCGACGGGATGCTTCAGTTGGACTTCTATGGTGACAAGGTATATGACCTTCTCCTCCCTTTATATTCCACTTTTGTTCCCACTTCTCATTCAATGCACAAACAAAATTATGTATTATTGGTTTACATAAATATAAATCAATGACTCCATTTGGAGTAAAGATTATTTACTGTAATAATTTTTGTGATTTGACGTGTATAACATAAGATAGATGATTGAGAAAAAAAACAAAAGTGGAAAGAAAGTAGGCCTAATACTTGAACAAAGGGTTAGAAAGTAGCTATAAGCGGATTGATTCCAAGAAGTTAACTGATTTTATGGATCTTTCTATTACTTCTGATTTTAATGACATATAATTTTGGCACATAACATTTTTTCAGAGCATATTAGGAGGACTTCATAAGCATGCTATTACAATTAGCCTGAATTGATATTACATGTTCCCGTTCTTTCTTAGCAAAATATTTTTTCAAAAATATGGTCCAATGGTGGAGCCAGAACAAATTGTCAGTGGAGGTAAAAGCAACATTAAAATTTTTTACCCACTCTTTCTTTAGTTTTTTAAGCAAAAAAAAAAAAAAAATCACCAACAAATTGAAATGAAAAAACTTTTTTCAGTTTACTTTAAATGAAACTTTATGACCCACATATTATTTTAGAATTTTAATTTATGAACTAATTTAGAAGAGCACGTAATTTTTTTACATCTTTCATAAGAAAATTTCAAGAGACACACTTGAGATGATATCTTTAATTTATGGGTACCATCGGAATTTAAGGGAGCGGTGAAGGGCGTGCCCTAGTGCCCTCACCTTAAATCCGCCACTGATATGGTCATATTTCCCTAAACAAAATCGTGAACCGAACATGTGAAATTGATTGACTAATTAACCAATGCAATTAAGAAACATCGCCGACTTGTTAACGGTTGACTGGTCCAATACGCGTATGCTTCCCTGCTTTTACTTTTACTAACAGCCATGGCCATTAAAAGAAAGTCTAGATCAAGATGTGAACTCCAGGACAATCTAAAATGAACATTATTCTAATTATAAACTGCATAATAACTATATAAGTTGGCTTTCCAGGTTATATCATACGTACTTGCAACGGGCGCTGCAGCAAGTTTCGGTATGACCCAAGATTTGAAGACACTTGTAGATCGGAGTGATTCTGGAGTTGATAAATTCTTAAGCAAGGCTGATGCAGCCACCAGCCTTTGTCTGCTAGGATTCTTGTTCGCTGCAATATCGTCGATTTTCTCAGCTTTCTCTCTCCCTAAGAGAGCTTAATCATTCCAGGGATCGAATTCAGCAGAATTTGGGATTAAATATTTTGCAGTATTTCCCCTTCCCACCAAGTTATTGTATATCACGGTTCCAAATTAATGTGTGCATGAAAAATTAATAGCAATCGGTTTTGTTTTTTTTTAATTGACTCTCATTTTAGTGAACTCGATTAAATGTTTCGGCTGACTGAGAACCGAAAAAGAAGCTTTTACTAGCCTTGTGGAAGAATAGTCACACATTTATATTTTGACATCTTGCAGCAAGACTTTCAGAAATTACATGAAAATGGAGGAACGCAGATAATCAAAGTTATAATTTGTACAAACCGCTGGAATATTTTACAGGCTCAAATTAGTGACGCAACATCAATTCAAGCCAAATTATCTTCCTCTAAGAAAAGAAATGATCAGCAAGCTGAATAGGTGCGCCAATTTGCTGGAGTTTGGCCATGTGCTCGTTATTCTTTAAGCTACGTCAAAATATGTATGCGCAGTAGTATTTCAGCATCAGATGATGTTGCAGCCACTTGAAAGGTTATCATCGCTGAAAGGGCTAAAGTACGAATAGCCCATTGAAGTGGGTGGAGGCGGGGTATCATAAGTAGTCCCCAGAGGCGGGGCTGATGGACTACAACCAGGACACGGTGGTTGCGGAGCCGGTGGAGGTACAGATCCACATGCATGTGGCGGCCAGTAGGAATTTCCGTCACAACTGTGCACAGGGCAAACATATGAAGCAATGGGATAACCAGCCGCATGATTTCCACAGCATCCGCCAATTCCATATCCGTGCACATTCCTATTCACACCACCATGATTATGGCCACCGCAACACGACGCGGAAGCCTCACAAAAAATCCCACTACGCTGGTCCCGAGCAGTAACTTGCACATTTTTGTCACTTAAATCGTCTTTTTCACCCTTGAAGCTCAACTTAATGGTCTTGGAATAGGTTACCTGAATATTTGTCAACCCTTGGATTCCTGACAGTCGCTCCAATTGGGCTACCACATTCGGGTCATTAAATAGTTCATCAACCACTTTCGATTCCGCTATAATTTCTAAATTCTGGCCATCTAGCTTTGAAGAAGTAGAGGAAGCAGAAGGGCTTTGCTCCCACAAAAGCTCCGCCTTTCTGCCTACTCCCTTTTCAAGCAACATCAAGATTGTGGAAGGCTCCACATTGCCTGAGATAGCCACAGTTCCTTGCTTTGCGTCTATGCTAACAGAATGAACACCCGCAACTCTTAGCAGCATCCTCTTCAGCTTATTCTCGCATTTCGAGCAGTGAATTTTAAGCTTGAGAACGAAGTTGCTTGGTGCAACCAAGGGCAGAGAGTAAGCCATTGACCGAAATACGGAACAAATTTGTTTGGGTTATAGCTGCGTTCTGTATAAAATTAAAGGGCAATCGGACATAAGGTACAGCAAGTATAAATTAAGATTAACGCGCAAGCATTGATCATTAGTCTGCCCTAGCTCCCACAGAAAATACAGAATAAGAGGACTAATCAGGTAGCGACTAGGTACAACAGTACCACTTCTAGATATTTGCAGGAGTTTTGTATTAGAATACGTCCGCGTTATTATTCAATCCACCAACCGTTGTTGCATATGTCTGAACAAACGGAAGTTTTCATCTTCTTTACTTTTGAATTGTTAGGTAGACTATATATTATTAGGATACAAAACGCATTGAACTGCATATGAGCTATAATAAATTACTTTCACAGTAAGAACCAACGACTTCATATTTAGCGCTTGAGGACCTCGGTCTCTTCTTTAACTACCCTAAAATTAATTAGTACCTTTACTTTGCAAGACTAGCATTCCAGCAATTCAAGAGTAAAGAAAGACCTAGAGCATATCGTATTTTAAACATCCTTTCTTCTTTCAGACAGGAAAGCCTGTGTCCTTTCAATCATACAACATAGAAAAAAAAAAAAAAAAAAAATCCCACATGCTTAGCGAAAGCAAAAGAGATCGAACACCTTACCATGTTTGTAACAATTTTAATAGCAAAATCATATATAGGTATCTTAAGCTTAATATGTTCAAAAAAAAACAAAAGAAGGAGAAATTTAAAAAATAATAATAATAATTGCGTGTTTCAGATAATCCAGCCATTTCCTATTTCCTACGCACTCCGGGATAGCAAAATACTGCAATTGAATAGATTCAGGGTCATTCATATATTACAGATCTCTTCGCAGAGGACAAACTCCTATTTTGGTGCAATCACTTCATATAACTCCACAGGATGATATGCCTAAGGACTATTGGTAAATAAAGACGAAGCTTATTATCATATATGAAAAATAATTCAAGAACTTACATTTATACGGACAGTTTCCAGCAGTTGGTTGTATTTTGCAGGCTGTAGAATATGTAGATAGATACAGTATGCCCTCCTGGCTCTGGTGTATTTATGGAGGAAAATTGATGAAGTAATTGAGTTGACGTGTATTGTGAACCTTGTTTAAATAATGAAAAAAACTTGCAGCCAAATTGTGGCGAAATTCTCCGGTGATTCCCTTTTTCATCTACCAGGATTACGTGTTTTGGACACGGTGGTGCGTGCATGTTTGGGGTTTCTTGTGGCCTAAGAAACTGTCACATCTCCAAACAACGGAGTAACACAAAAATAAAAACCAGCAAAAAAGTAAATATTTTAGAGTAAATATTATATATCACTATTAAATTCATAATATTTGTGTAAAAGTTGAATTTTAAATTCAAATTAACATCTAAATTCAGAGACTTCTTCTTTTTTATTTTTGTTTTTGTGCAATAAATTTATCTAATATTATGAAGAAAACTATCTTAAGAACATTATTCGAAAAGATAAATACTTATACATTTGAAAAACTTTTGCGAACTAGCTCCACGGGTTATTGTGATTTTTTTTTTTTTTTTACTTCGATTTGTTTACAGAAAACAAAAATTATTCCTCGCGAAATGAAGCAAAACTTTGACATTTTCTTCTGTGCTGTTTATTTTGGGCCGCGAAGAGCTTCCGGGAGGTCAAGCCCAGATTGATCATGACAGATAGAGGAGATTGACATTGATCTGGCCATTGGGCTCCTGGAAAGGCATCTCTTATCATAGTGGGCCTCATAATTATCAAGAGTATAACGCTCTTCTGGCGATTCCGACTGGAGGGCATCTTGTACAAAGGAATTGCGAACTTGGGAAGTGGAAAATGAATCAGAAATTTGGAGGGGGGAAACCGCCAACTGGAACGCCGTCGTTAGCTTGGTCGTGCGCTGTCGTGATCGTTTCGCTCCTCGCCGGTGCCTCGGTCGTCCACAACATCTATAAGCCTGATCTGGTAACAACCCCCCTCCCCCTTTCTCTCTCCCTCTAAATACTCACACAGCTCGTACAACTGTTCGATAAAATGCCCATACGAACCGTGCAAAACTTTCCTCTTGAGTTTTACTAGTATTTTTAACTGGGACCTCTTTTGTGAAGTTAGCCTAAAATTGTAATGTAGTTTGCTGGTGAGCTTGCAGACTTTGCCTCCAATTGAGAAAAGCGTTGATGGGGCTCAACGAGAACCCGTGGAAAAACACTGATGAATTTCCAGTTTCACTTGTCTGTTGAGCTGTAATTCAGGAGTCAGTCGCTACCAGCAGTGGTGCTTCATAACTTTATACATTTGAAACTTTTTTTAAGTATATACAATTTCATGAGTTCCACTGTGATTTGGATCCCCATTTTTCCTTTTTTAGGTGGGGACTTGTCTTCTAGTATTTGAATTTCGGTTCAAGTTTGATCTCTTCGTGACGTGTCTAGGGCATGCTAATAATCCACATCAAGTTAGAGATGGAGAACTGCAACCGTCTTTGAGCTCATTCTCAATCCCCAAATCCTTGCAATAATCAGTAGTATTTGGCTTGTCTTAGAGACCACTGTTTACTAATATTAGCAGTTATGCAAAGGAAAATTTGAAGTAAATCCAGCCGTATTTTATTGTCAAATTAGATATAATTGATACTTGCAAGCAAATTGCACGTGTAATCAACTGTTTGTATTAAATATGGCCCCTAAAACATGGTTGATGTTACGTGCTAATTGATACGCCATTCCCATGGCAAACCGGAGTAATTGGCAGTCCCACCCTGTTCTTTTCCACCGAGCGCAAAATTTTGTGTGAAGCAAAAAATAAAGCTCAGAATATCTAACTTAGGAGAAATGCAAGAACGTAACAGCCACTGCCAATGATAAGTCATTTTAGAAGAAGATAGTGCCGATTATAAAACTGCTTTTTTCTTCCACAAACTTCCTTTCAAATCTCTCCATAAAAGTTTAGGGGTTGGAGAAATGATAAGAATCAGCAAATTGGATTGTTCCAGCGGTTCGCCAAGTCATTTCTTGAGAGTACATTTTTTCAAAATATAGGGGCCTTAATCCCACTTGCCGTGCTGAGTATTGCCAAATCCAATTCTATTGAATTAATTAATGAACCTAGTAGTTCCCCTGCGCAATCCTCACTGGAACAATAGTAGTCCAGTTGGCTGTTGTGCGTAATAATTCTTGTATCTCTGGTCCAATAATCCGAAGTAACAGAATTCATTGCTCTAAAAGTTGTAACAGGGTAGTCAAATCAGGGAAAGAGCCCACGAATTGACTTAGGATTTTCCTGTTTTCAGATATTCGTGAAGTGTGGTGGCGTAGTACTACCAGAATAGGACCGGTAGCGGGAAGGTGGTTCATCGGTGCGAATGGGCTGTTTATCTACTTCCCAACCACACGCCATTAATTTCTGCCATTGGATCGACATTAGACTCAAGGCAACGCCCACTCATTTGCCAACTCACGTGCTCCGCCCCCACCCCCATCAGCATTTTTCATCATCATAAACATTTCAGTACTCTTATAATTAATTATTATATTTATAACCCCCCCAGTCCCGAAACACCAGCGATCCTCAGATCTTCGTTCCACCTCTCAGAACTTTTGTACCCTTTCTCGCTGTGTCTTTCGGAGGCTTACTCTTTGAAGGATGAAGGTGACGGTCGTTACACGTAGCGGCAGAGAACTAGTAAAGGGTGGCCTTGACCTCGATGATTCCGTATGCTATTCTATTCGTCCTCTTCTTCTCTTGTTATTTTCTCAATTTAGCTAAAAGTTATTTGCAACACTAGAATTGAGAGAAAATATGATGGGTTTTGGGCTCTGTCCTTGTAGGCTACTGTTGCTGATCTTCAGGAGGCAATCCATAAGCGAAGTAAGTCAGTAGAAAATGCTTCTCACATTGCTTTGCTTTCTTGGGTTTCGTTATTTTCGAGGTTTATAATCTGAGCTGAATTCGTGTTTGTTATTACGAGTGCCTGTGCAAGTCTGCTTGTTCTTGCAAGTTTCCCTCTTTTTTATGCCTGGATAGTAGATATTATAGTTTTTTTTTTTATGTGATGCCCGTGAGATAAAAAAAAATGTTTGTAAAATAGGTTGATCATGCAAGCAAATAAATTTTTGAAAATAGTCCACAATCCAAACATACCCATTTCTCGACATTGGCACGGTTTATTTTTACTATTACAAGCAGTATGTTATTATTGTTCAATCCTACCAGGTTCTTCTGGGTTAATTAGCCGTGTTTTTGTTCGATTTTATTTTTTTTTCAATTGAATGGATAGAAATATCCAGTTTGAACCTTTCTTAAAATTGACTGTGGGAAGGAGCGAAAGTTCTGAGATTTCTTACACTTTCTCTTGCCTCTTTTGTAAAGATCGAGGGCAGATGGCCCTTTCGCGAAGCTAAAATCTAAGGTTTATTGATAGGCCACATTGATCTGAATCTTGAGTTTCTCCGCCATCGGGGTTCATCTCATGAGCATTATGGACTCATTGAGCGACGGCAGTGAGGTGAAGTGGCCAAACTTTCCCCTGTGAAGACTGTCAGAACCCTGTCAAATGTACAGGGCTTTCCTTAGTGAACTTAGTTTTCCAAGCGTTGTTCTTTACTAGTAACCATGAAATGTTTCATTTCTTTCTCATAGTATCAAATCCTCACTGTCAGGAGTCTAAACAATTGTGAAAGATCAAAGTAAATGCATACAGTTGTGCATGTAAGATAATGTTGTGAATAGTTGCTACGCTATTCATGAGTTTAATTTTGATGTTTATATTGTTAAATATGGAAGATTTTATCTTCAGATCGTTCATGAACTTTAGTTGCATTGGATGTTTGAGCAGCACACAGATTCTGTGACAATGTGGGCATTTTTTAATTTTGAGGCTAGTGCCATCAAGATTCTCAATTGCTTTTCCATTCTGTAGAATTGTGTAGCGCATTTAGAGATATTCCACTGTCAACTTATACAAATTAAAGGGTAAAAAAAAGTTTATGCACTTCTGATTATTAAGGCTTACTTTTAGAGCTTCAAGATTCAAATTTTTATCATGATTCCTGATCATTTGGTGACAATGCTCTTCAGTGCCAGAACATCCCCATATTGCATCATCTGAAACTCATTGACTGTTTGCAGCATTGGTTCTTTGAATTGCAACTTGCTTTGGTTTTTTTCTTTTTTCTTTTTTTTTCCCTGGACTACGTGTCTGTAGCTTGTTTTGTCTCTCTGTGTCTGGTAATTGTTCCTTAATCCATATGAGGTGTTGTATTAAGCTCGTTTTTGTTAACAGCCAAGAGATACTATCCCTCTCGACAAAGACTCACCCTCCCTCTCCCACCTGGATCCAAGGAGAAGCCTACCATTCTTCACTACAAGAAGAGTCTCAAAGAGTACATTGGTGAGAGCACAAATGAGTTGACTGTAGCGTTCAAGGACCTAGGTCCACAGGTTGCCTACAGCACACTTTTCTTCTGGGAATACTTGGGGCCTCTTATTCTTTATCCTCTTTTCTACTTCTTCAATGTGAATCAATTTTTCGGCTATAAAGGCAAGCGTGTCATCCACCCTGTTCAGACATATGCATTATACTACTGGTGTTTCCACTACTTCAAGCGTATCATGGAAACATTCTTCGTGCACCGTTTCAGCCATGCCACTTCCCCACTTTCAAATGTCTTCCGTAATTGTGCTTATTACTGGAGCTTTGGCTCCTATATTGCTTATTATGTCAATCACCCACTTTACACGCCTGTTAATGATCTCCAAGTGAAGATTGGCTTTGGTATCGGGTTGGCTTGTCAATTGGCAAACTTCTATTGCCATATTTTGTTGAGAAAGCTTCGTCCTGCTGATGGTAGTGGAGGATATCAAATCCCACGTGGCTTCCTCTTCAATATCGTTACATGTGCCAATTACACCACAGAAATTTACCAGTGGCTGGGATTCAACATTGCAACGCAAGCTGTAGCTGGCTATGTTTTCATGGTTGTTGCAGCTGCCATTATGACTAACTGGGCACTTGCAAAGCACAGACGATTGAG